GCCCAGTATGTGAGGGGGGGCAGGCTGGGCTGAGGGACCCTCCCCCCCCCCACACACACACACCAAGTGCACGAATTTCGTGCACTGGGCCCCTAGTACTATCATAAGATAAAATTTTAGAAAATCATTTTCTAGAACATTCTAACATTCTACCATGTCTTCTGGCCAGAGGACAACTTGGATTGGAAATGGGAAGGCCTCTCTCAAAATACTCCATTTTCTTTAATTTTTATATTTTTTAAGATTTTAATTGAATTCAGGGAGGAAGGGAGAATTAGAGAGAGAGAGATAGAAACTTCAGCTGGGCATTCGTTGATTTTTTTGTATGTGCTCCGACCACAGATCAAACATACTACTTTGGCATATTGGTACAATCCCCTAAGCAACTGGGCTACCTGTGTAGGTAAATTGGATTCTTTCACTTAGTTCTGTGTATCTAGGCTTCTATCATGTCTTTTCATGGCTTGATGTATTATTTCTTTACTAGAGACCCGGTGCATGAAATTCATGCTAACGGGGCAGTGGGGATGTACTCAGCCCAGCCTGCACCCTCTCCAATCTGGGACCCCCTCGGGGGATGTCAGACATCCCTCTCACAATCTGGGACTGCTGGCTCCCAACCGCTCGCTTGCCTGATTGCACCTAACCGCTTCTGCCTGCCAGTGTGATCACCCCCTAACCACTCCCCTGCCAGCTTGCTTGTTGCCTAAGTGCTCCCCTGGCATCCTGATCGCCCCCAACTGCCCTGCTGACCATCTCGTGGCTATGATGCAGCCATCTTTGAAGGCTGGACAGCCAATTAGCATATTCCCTCCTTCTTGGCTTTGGGTGCCGACATATTTAAGGGCATGACAGTCAATTAGCATATTTCCTCCTTATTGGCTGTGTGATCCATCATCTTTGTGATGGCATGAGGGCTAATTAGCATATTTCCTCTTTATTAGATAGGCTAGTAGAAATACTTCATTGTTTGTACTTCAGTGTATTTATCTATTAACTTGTTGACGGACCTCTTCATTGATTCCAATAATTGTAAATTATGAATAAGCAGCCCCTTGTAGGGTTTTGTATAGATAAACGGCTCAACTTTTTGATTTGAGGTTAAGGAGCCTAATTACTGAGTGTATATTCAGTTTTATAAAACCTCCAGAGCATCTCTCCAATGGGCTGTAGCATTTGGCATTTTCAGCAGCAGTGATTGGAGTTCCAATTGCTCCACATCACAAAGGCATTCGGTGGGGTCAGTGTTCTGTATTCTGACCTGTTCCATGGTGGTTTACTATTGCTTGGTTGTGCTCTTTGTTACTTCTCATTGTTATAATGTGCATTCCCTTAATGACATAAGACATGCAAGATATTGTTACACTCATTTTGTATGACTATATATTTTGTAGTGCTGTGCTGTGTGTTAAGGTGTTTGGCCCTTTTCAGGTTGTTATGTCAATGTTGAGTTTGAAGCCTTCTTTGTCTATTTTGCATAATTGTCCTGTGTATGTTGACTTTTTTATTAATATATATAAATTCACTAGATTCCTGAAACACAAAATACATGCTGTGTAGGGTTCCTAGGCCTGGCCTCCTGGCCTCCTCATTCCCTCACTCCTTCAAAGCCCCTCCACCTCTGCTGGTCACCCCCTGGTCATCAACGCACGTCATAGCTTGCGATCGAACTCCCGCTCTCCAGGTCAAACTCCCGGACAATATGTAGATTTCTTATTGATTTCAAAGATGAGAGAGAGATAGGAACATCAATGATCAGAGAGTATCATTGATGGGCTGCTGTGTGCCCTGAGTAGGACTTGAACCGTGACATCTTGGTTCATAGATCGATGCTCAACTGCTGAGCCGTGCCAGCTCGGCCATGTTGACTTTTACAAATATATTTTCTCAGCCTGTGGCTTCTTTGTTTTGTTTTTTTTTCTGTTGAGGATGATGTTTTTGTTGTTATTTTTTCTTTAATGCTTGAGTTGATGAAGCATTCTTCACACTACTTGGTGAAGAATCTTGTATTCTTGCCCTCTATCTTATAGATTAATTAACGATACATACAGCTTTGGACATTTTTAAAGTTGTGTTACTTCTTTTTTCATGTTGATTTTTAAAAGGTCACTGTATATTCTGGATATTAACTACTTATCAGATAATGTACTTTGTAGAAATATTTTCCCATGCCACAGCTTGTATTTTGAACACACTAACAATTTGCTTTAATGGAAGTTATATTTGTACTAGAAACCTGGTGCACGAAATTTGTGCATGGGGTGGGGGCTTGTGAGTCCCTCAGCCCAGCCTTCACCCTCTCCAATCTGGGACCCGTCAAGGGATGTCCGACTGCCTGTTGAGGCCCGATCCCAGACCTAACTGCTCCCTGCCAGCTGGATTGATGCCTAAGTGCTCCCCTGCTGGCCTTGTAGCCCCTAACTGCCCCTTCTTGCCAGCCTGGTGGCCCCTAACTGCCCTCACCTACAGGCCCGGTCACCCTTAACTGCCCTCTCCTGCAGGCCTGATTGCCCCTAACTGCCCTCCCCTGCCGGCCCAGTTACCCCTAACTGCTTTCCCCTGCAGGCCTGGTCCCCCCCAACTTCCCTCCCTGGCAGGCCTGGGTCCCCCTCTGACTGTCTTCCCCTGCAGGCCTGGTTGCCCCCAACTGCCTTCCTCCACAGGCCTGGTCCCTGCAACTGCCCTACCCTGCAGGCCTGATGGCCTCCACCTGCCCTCCCCTGCTGGCCATCTTGTGGCAGCCATCTTATATGTTGGAGTGATGATCAATTTGCATATTATTGCTTATTAGATAAGATGGGGTGTCATGCCTTTTGACTATTTTGTGACCTTTTCATTTAGTGCTATAATAAAAATAATCAAATGTCATAGAAACTTTTTTATATGGCCTGGCCAGTTTGGCTCAGTGGATAGAGTATCAGCCTGTGGACTGAAGGGTCCTGGGTTCGATTCTGGTCAAGGGTATATGCACAAGGTGCAGGCTTAATCTCCAGTAGGGACTCTGCAGGAGACAGCCAATCAATGAAGCTCTCTCTTTTCTTTTTTAAAAGGCAATTTTTAAAAAAAATATATTCTATCGACTTCCCACAGAGAGGAAGGGAGAGAGATAGTTAGAAACATTGAGGAGAGAGAAACATCAATCAGCCGCCTCCTGCACATCTCCCACTGGGGATGGGCCCGCAACCCAGGTACATGCCCTTGACCGGAATCAAACCCGGGATCCCTCAGTCCGCAGGCCGACACTCTATCCACTGAGCCAAACTGGTTTCGGCGAATCTCTCTTAATGTTTCTATCTTTCTCTTCCTCTCCCTTCCTTTCTGAAAGCAATACAAATGTACTGGTATTTAAAAGAAAAACAAAAACTCTTCAGTAACTTTTCTTTTAATAGATTCAGTTATTATTAGCTTTATGTTTGAATCTTTTATCCATTTTGGTTTAATATTTGTATATGTTTAATTATAGTTCAACGTCACTCATTCTTTTACACGTAGACATTTAAGTATCTCAGCACTCTTTGTATATGTGAGAATATGCTTTACTTCTTTGGTGGTGTAGGCACTCTAGTAGAAGATTATTTTACCTCATGGGTGAGTAGTTGTAAGCAGGCTCTTTATTCCACAGTGTTTCTTTTTGGTAGTTGTTGTTAATCCTCACATGAGGACATTTATTCCATTACTATTCAGAGAGAGTAGAAATGTGGGAGCAAGAAGCAGGGAGAGAGAGGGAAACATCAATGTGAGAGAGACACATCGACTGGCCCCCTTCTCCATTCGACTCCACCCAGGTGGGGTGGGAATTTGCAATTGAGGTATGTGCCCTTTAAGGGGAATTGAACCTGCCACCCTTAAGTGCACAGGATGATGCTCTGACACTGAGCCATTGTGACCAGGGCCTACAGTGCTCCTTTATTTACCTGTGTCTTAACGTGTAGATGATACGTTTGGATCACACCAGATTTGAAATATTTTTTTTATATCTGGGTGTATGATGCCTTTCAGCTTGTACTGTCTCTCCCATGTTTGTTTTGGTTCCCTGGTGTCCTGTGTCATTTCATATCAATTTTAGGATGAGGTTTGCTAATTTTGTGAAAAGTGACATTGGGACGTGGATAGTGCCTGCTTTTTTTTTTTTTAATAAATCTTTATTGTTCAGATTATTACAGTTGTCCCTCTTTTTCCCCACCATAGCTCCCCTCCACCCGTTTCCCATCCTGCCCTCCGCCCTCA